TGCCCGGGATAAACTCACCGAGTGAAGAGCTGATGCAATCCTAAGGTCGCTGCTTCACTTTGTTCCAGGCCCGGTGGAGGTTGCCTGGGAATCCTTTGAGGATTCCGTGGGTGTGCTCGGCTCGTGGACCCAGTGCTGTGGTGCATCCCTTGTGGGCTAAGTTTCCATGCATGTCCTAGGCAGGAAGCTGATTTGCATGCAGAGCATCCCATGGGGATGCACCCTCACATTGGTCCTAGGTTCTAGGTAGTTCGAGTATACGGTCCATTGCATGCATGCACACATAGCATATCGGCTGCCTTTAGCAATTTTTGTCTCGACCCGGAGCATCCATCCCAGAATGGGCAAGAATAAGAACGCCATCGTGAAGGCCAAGGCCACAGCTGCCAAAACCAAGGCGGTTGCGAAAACTGCTGCCAAGCAGAAAGCCAAAGCCCAGCCGGCCCCAAAGGCAACAGCTGCCACCCCAGATCCCGATCGGCAACAGCTCAGCAACTTTGTCACCTCGATGAAGTACAAAGCCACCAAAGGGCAGAACCCGGAGCACCGTAGCACAGCTCAGAAGCTGTTGGAGGCTCGGGGTTATTAACTCAGGGATATGGAACTACATAGCTAACCCCAAGCCCAAGCCCTAGATTTGCTGCCTTGCAGATGTATGCCGAGATGGACAACGAAGGCAAACGTGCTATGGCCAAGAAGTATGTCGAGCACGGTGGCAAGGATCTCACCTGGTCTGCTACCTATTTCGAGAGCAATGTGGTGGAGGATATCACGGAAAAGTCCACCAGGAAGGGCATGATGACCAGGAAACAGATACTCGACTTGGAAGGCATTGATGTCTCCGACATGGACAATGACACAAAAAACGAATGCCTCCAGGAGTTGCTTAAGAAGTTGTGGGACCGTCTCAAGATGAACCCGGAGAGCCACCCCGAGCTGATTGAGAAGCACAAAATCGAGGCCATGAACAGATACTATTACGAACACGTGGATCAAAAGGACACAGAGTTGAACAAAAACTCGCAGGAGTTGAGTGTGCAGGCTGCTGGGTTCAGAATGGACACAGCCCAGAAGATGATCACGAACAGGCCCTCGGACCCCAATGTGAAGATTGAGAATATGTGGCACGTGGATCTCATGGCCAAAGTGAAGCCTGTCTGGCAAGCCAAAGCAAAGCTCGAAAGAGATGAAGCCACCCTCAAGGATATCCTGTGCGAGTTCGAGAATGCAGTCGAAGGCAAAAAGGGGTTCAATGAAATCGTGCAGGACTACGAGTCCAAGATGGAAGTGCTGCACGAATTCTTGTCGCAGCTTCGGAAGGCATATGCCCAGGTCACCAAGATTGAAGCCAGTGACGAGGGCACATGCACGACAGCCCTAAGTGAATGGACCACGTTCGGGGAGGCGATGTTGGTTCACCAGCAAGGAGTGAAGCAGATGATGTCCGGTATGCGGGCCTTCCTCTAGGTATTTCAATTATCACAACTTAAGCTTTGCAGCTCGTGCACTATTGCTTGCAGTGAGTTTTGAATCAAAACACATATGTGCTGTCACTGCATGCAAGTCTGCCACGTCTAGCTCCGATCGCCGAGGGGTTTTTGTTCTTCGCCCAAGAC